TCCCTATTTTCATCGCAGCATTATTTACAATAGCCAAGATATGGAAGCAACTTAAGTGTCCACTAATAGACCACTGGATAAAGAAGATGTGGTAGCCCTGGCCGGTTTGGCTCAGCGGTTAGAGCGTCGGCCTGCGGTCCTGAGAGACCCGGGTTCGGTTCCCGCTAAGGGCGCGTACCTCGGTTGCAGTTTGTCCCCGGCCCTGGTCGGTTGTGCGGGTGGCAGCCACTCGATGTGTTCCTTTCACATCGATGTTTCTCTCTCTCTCTGTTCCTCTCTCTCCCTCCCACTCTACCTGAATAAAAAAAAAATAGAAAAAATGTCCTCCGGTGAGGATAAAAAAAAAAAATAAAAAAATAAATAAATAAAAAAAAAAAAAAGAAGATGTGGTATATATACATACAATAGAATACTACTCAGCCATAAAAATGAATGAAATCTTACTATATGCGACAACATGGATGGATCTAGAGGGTATTATCCCAAGTGAAATAAATCAGACAGAGAAAAACAAATACCATATGATTTCACTTATATGTGGAATCTAAAAAACAAAATAAATGAACAAACAAAACAGAAACTAATTAATAGATAAGAAGAACAAACTGATGGTTGCCAGGTGGGAGGGGGGTTAGGGGCTGGGTGAATAAATGAAGGGATTAAGAAGTACAAATTGGCAGTTACAAAATCGTCACTGGGATGGAAAGTACAGCATAAGGAATATGGTTAATAATGTTATAATAACGATGTATGGTGTCAGATAGGTACTAGACTTGTCACGGGGATCACTTTATACGTTATATAAATGTCTAATCACTATGTTATACACCTGAAACTAATAGAATATTAAATGTCAACAGTAACTGAAGAAAACACATTATACATCTCTTATTTATATTTTTTTCCCTTACATAACAATTTGGCATTTTACATGCCAATAAAAAACTAAAATTCAGCCTGGCCTGTGTGGCTCAGTGGATTGAACATCGTCGCATGGACTGAGAGGTGCCAGTTTGATTCCCAGTCAGGGCACATGCCCAGGTTGCAGGCTTGATCCTGCATGAGGGGGCATGAAGGAGGCAGCTGATCAATGTGTCTCTCTCACATCGATGTTTCTCTCTCTCCCTTTCTCTAAAAAATAAATAAAAATATATATTTTAAAAATTAAAATACTATTTTAATTATTATATGACTGCACCATAATCTACTTAATCAATTTTCTATCATTATTTCTTATTTAGATGGACTCTAATATTTAGTTGAATAAATAAATAGCTTTTTAACTTTTGCCCTCGCTGGTTTGGCTCAGCAGTTAGAGCACTGGCCTGAGGACCAGAGAGTCCTGGGTTCGGTTTCCGCTAAGGGCACGTACCTCGGTTGCAATTTGTCCCCAGTCCCAGCTGGGGTCATGTGGGTGGCAGCCAGTCGATGTTTCTCTCTCTCTCTCTTCCCTCCTCTCTCCCTCCCACTCTATCTGAAGATAAATGCAAAAATGTGCTCAGGTGAGGATTAAAAAAAAAAAAGACAACATCATTTAACAAAGTATCTCAGTTCTTATGGCATAAAATAGGTGCTCTATAATTGTATGTTGAATAAATGTAAACATTCAAAGTAACACTGTATGTTTTCTTTTTGTAGATATCTGACCCACCTCCCCCTTCCCCACAATCTGAGACCCAGTTCCCAGAAGGTACTCAACACATCAAGAAACACTCAGAGCTGGAAAGACTTTTTATGACCATCCAACTTTTCTGTCCCCTCACCAAAGTGGGTAGGACCTCTCCAGGTTCTTTCTCCAACCTCTGAGAAAAGATAATCAAGCAAGATAGACAATGGAGGACACCTGGAATTCAGAGATGCTCAGAGACCGAGTTCTAGCAGAAAAGGTCAATAGCCCTGGCCGTTTTGGCTCAGCGGTTAGAGTGTCGGCCCGCGGACCGGAGAGTCCCAGGTTCAGTGCCTGCTAGGGGCACGTTCCTCAGTTGCAGTTTGTGCTGCCCCCCCACCTCAGTCTATCTGAAGATAAATGCAAAAATGTCCTCAGGTGAGGTTTAAAAAAAAGAAAAAGTCAATAGCAGATGCCCTGCTGGAGTGGAACCCAGGGAGGAAAGCTAGGGTGTGGTGGAGGGTCTCCACTTGCCCTGGCTTGCAGAACACATAAACACCCTCAGCCCAATGTGCTGCACCTTCTGAGAAATGTCAAAATACCTGAAACATGTTCTTTGGAAATCTCATCATTTCAGGACACAGCTACAGATCTCACTAGGCACCACAGGCTTCCTTGGTGTTCTCTTCCCACTTCCCTTCCGCTTCCCTTTCCCCTTTCCCCTTCCCCTACCCCTTCCCCTTCCCCTTTGGGATGGAGAGGCAAAAACATCCAGAAACAAAGGCCTGGAGGCCAGGACTCTGGTGTCACCTTCAGAAGCAGAGAAGGCCTTTCTGTAGAGGACAAAATGGGGTTCTGATCACTTCTTCCTGCTTCTGGTTATCCTTAGCCCCTGAAAGTCCTGAGTATCTCTGGCATAGAAGGTCCCCCAAATCCCAAACTCTATTTCAAGAAACATCTAGGAAAACAGCACAAACACCACAGGGGCTGTAATTGGGTAGAGGGGACAACATTCTGGTCTAGCATGGCCACAAAGAGGTTCTAAGATGGGGTTCCACTGGGGCTGGGCCTTAAAGGGTGGAAGTCACTGGGCTTCATGGGGGCAAGAAGAAAGCAGAGGAAATGGCAGGTTCGAATAGTACTGAAAACAAGAACATTTACTCAGCGTTTACACTGTGCTTGGTGCTGAGCTAAGTGTTTTACACATAAAAGTTTGTTGACATTTCACAACCTTCTGAGATAGGTACTATTAACATACTAAATGAAGAACTCAAGGTCCAAAGGGGTTAAATAATTTGTCTAAGGTTAATCCAGTAATTGGCAGGGCTGGGATTCAAATTCAGATTTGTCTAACTCTGAAGACCACCACACTATGTGCACCAAGAGCTGGAGGAATGGCTTGTGTGAGAGAAAGGAATACATGTGAAAGAGCAAGGGAATCCCTGAATGTCATTAGGTCTGTATGGTGGTCCATAAGGGGCCTATGTCCCAAGAAGTGTTGCAGAAATAATGGCCTAACATGTTTACGGAAGATGATGTAGGGTCTTGCTGGGAAGATGGGTACCCTGTGGCCTCAGAAGCTGGAGGGGGGGGGGGGGGGGGAGTCAGGTAGGGATAGGGAGGAGTCAGCAGCAAGTATGAGGAAAGCCTAGAAGAGAAACAAGTTTACCAAATGCCAGTTGGTAATCAATGGAGGTTCACCTTCAGATTTAAGCAAAGATCTTCCTCCAGTCCCAGTCAGTCCACAAAACTCACATTAAGTGCCAACTGTATGCCAGACCCTACCCAGAGAGCCTCCCTGTTTCTCCTCCTTTCCCAACAGTGAGGACAATCAGGTTGCTGGTAGACTCTTACAACACAGCACCCTAAGTGCTCTCCTGTCTTTCCCCACTTCCACTCCCATAAAGGAGGTGAACAACCTTTTTTGAACATTTATGTTAAAACCATAAAGTCCACAATTGTATTTTAACTTCAATAAGTTTTAAAAATTAAAGGTATGTGTTTTTACATTAATGCAAGGTAAACAAAAACTAGTGTGTTTTTTTTTAACTTAGCTCACTTTTATTCATTCATTCATTTGGTACCTGCTCCTAGTGGGAACAGAACCTGGGACTCTCTGGTCCGCAGGCCGACGCTCCAACCACTGAGCCAAACCATCCAGAGCTTCTTTTTTTTTTTTTTCCCCCCACTTTTAACCTCAATACATTTTTTATTTGAAATTTTTCTCCAAAGGGTTAATCATCTGGTCATCTTCCCCCTCCAGCTACCGTGAGACTAGTTCAAGAGTACACTTGGGGGTCAGGGATGGGAACTCACATTCCATCCACTGCGCCCTTCAATACCACCTGGGGGAGGTAGAGGAGGCAAAGACTGGAATCAGGGGCATCTCTAATTCGGTAAAAAATTTTTTTTATCCTTACCCGAGGACATTTTTCCATTTTTTATTCAGATAGAGCAGGAGGGAGAGAGAGAGAAACATCAACGTGAAAGGGACACATCGAGTGGTCGTCACCCACACGACCCAGCCAGGGCCAGGGACAAACTGCAGCCGAGATACACGCCCCCAGCGGGAACCGAACCCGGGTCTCTCTGGACCGCAGGCTGACGCTCTAACCGCTGAGCCAAACCGGCCAGGGCTAATTCAGTAAATTTGATGCAACTGTATCTCAGGGGGGTCCATCCCACTTTGAAGCTGTGTGTTCTGAGAAGAAAAGGGAACTCAGCTTCTCACGATTCTTGTGCTATGAAACCCTATCCCAACAAGATTTTTCTCGCTGAGCGTTTGGGAAGTATCGGCCAAATACATGTGTATGAACTTTCAGATTTGTATGGCCACATCCTGCTCTCTCGAACACTGCCTTCAGAAGACTCTGCTCAGCTAGTGGTTCCGCGATGGGAGAAAACTCCAAGCAGGCTCAGCAATTCCCCAGGAGGTTCACCCCTGGACCAAGGGGGAAGATACAATGATCTCAAGTGTCTTGGTAGGGAAGTGGGGGACTTTTCCGCTTAGTTTCCCTAAGCGTTGCCACGGGACAGCTCACTCTGGCTACGTCAGGTTAAAGACACTTGTATGGGCACATCTCGACCAACCACTCCCGAGAGATCCTCTCTTCCAAACTGCGAGGCAAGGCATAACCGTGGAAGAGGCGACCTCAGCAGAGGCGAACCACTGCGGTTTTAAAGCTTTGTGTGCGTTTAGGCCTGAGCCGAGCCGCAGCTGGAGGTAGATTCTCTTCCAGCACACCCGCCACCAACCCCCGGATTCCCAGCGAGGCCTCTCAGGCCCTTCGAGAACCCCCCCTTCGGGTTCCCCGCACAGAATTCGGAACCCGCAGGCCCGAGCCAGCCTCCTTGTCGGCCTTTTAAGGCCGAGCATCCCGGCCCCACGGCTCACCCTCGAGCGTTTCGCACTGCACCAGGTTGAGGTAGTCCGCCTGGCTGAGCACTCCGGCCTTCAGGCCGCGCACAAGTCCCTCCAAGTAGCCATTGTCCACATTGAAGTAAAGCTCCGGGAAGAACGACATGGTGGCGGCGGCTGCGGCGGCGGCAGGGGCGGTGGGACCGGAGAACCCTGAGCCGTAGGCACGCAGCGAAAACTCCAAGATCAGCTGACTCGGCGCTCGCAGCGGACTGTCAAGTATGTCAGGTGGTGCACAAGAGAGTCACGTGACCTCAGCGGGTTGGAGCTCTGAGCGATTCCCACCTTCCGGGTGGCTTCGAGTGGAAGCATTGCGCAAATATGAGCTGTGACGGCCCTCTGGCGCCTGCGCGAGGGAAGGAGCGCCTCCGGCTCCCAGCTAGAGCAGCTTGGAGTGTCTAAGACCCACCGCGCGGTGGCGCCCGTGGCCGTGGAAATTGGACTTGGTCCTCTTAACTTTCTCGGGTTTCTTGCATCTGGCACTGTGGGGGCGTGCTGAGTAAAGCTGGGAGCTATTTATACTTGGAAATATTCCAGACTGTTGAGTCAATCTGTCCTCAAGGGAATTGAGGTATGACAAGGACAGCCTTCGCTGTGGGTCACACATCGAGTTAGCTGCAAGCAGGCCCGGGAGCCTAATGCTTGCTCGCCAGCCAGAAGTTACAACCCATTCAGCGGTACGCACCCCCTTCCCCTCATTTACTATACAAGAGTCTTGAGGGCTGGAGAGCGGCTCTCCTCTGCTTCCCCCAACGGCTCCTGGTGCCCTAAGAGCGTGCGTATAAGTAACTCAGATGATGGGGTTTTCCGGGCCCTGGGGTAGATATGTGGTTTCTAGGTTTGGGCGGCATTCCCATCCCTGCTGTGACCTACCCCCTCCAAAGGCCTCATTCGAAATAATGCCACAGCCTTGGGGTTGGTCCCAAACTTTATTCACGCCCCACCCTCCCTGTCCTAGCCCCAACTCTGACATTGACCAGTTAAGTGCGGCTGCAGGGGTTCATGGCAGTACCCAGCTTGCGGCAGTAGCAGAAGGCGTTGAAGAACCGGCAGTAGCACGTGGCGCATGGGTCACAGCAGGGTACTTGGTGTCCTAGACAGGACTCATGCAGCCGCACGCAGCGACGCAGGGAGCGTGGCTCGCGTCCTTCCGGATCTAGCACCTGCAGGAGGAGTGTGGGAGCGTGGACCTCGAAGGCAAGTCCGAGGACCTCACCTGCCATGGTTTAAGTGGGATGGCAGTGGAGCATGGAGGTCTGCAGTGTCGCTCCAAGTGAGGGGGTCACGAAATGGAGAACGGGAACGATGCCTGATGTCCCCTCCCAGGGCCTGTGCCCTCACCCCTTTCCCTGAACAGTTACCTCTGCCAAGTCCTCAGCCTCCTGCAGCAGAGCCTCTTCTGCCTGTTCTGCAGTTGTCCTCTTCAGCCCAGGCCTCAGGCCCAGGCCTGTGACAAATGATGTGAGGGCAGAACACCCTCCACCAACAGCCCCCCCCCCCCAACCCCACCATGCACACCCACCTCCCAGGCCTGGGATTGGGAAGAGAGGAGGGGCTCATACCAGGCCAAATAGTTTGTGGCAAAAGGGTGTCCAAGCCCCACCCAGACCCACCCCTGCCCACACTGACCTGACAGCTCTGAGAACAGGGCCTGATCAGGCCTTCTGATGCCCTCCAGGGGTGCCAAACTCATCTGGACCCCCTCCATGGCAGGCAGTGCCAGCAGCAGGGCACAGCTCAGCATTGTGGTCAGCATGGCCTGGCTCAGTAGGAAGACCCACCACTTAGTCCCTCCTCATCCTTGGAGCACCCTCTAAGTGCCCTACCCCCAAGAGAAGCCTCCCAGAGAATAGGAGTCTCTGCCCAACCTGAGGACTTACTTCTGCTTGCTGGATCCTTGCCCGGAGAATTCCTGGCCACCCTGTGCCTTCAGCTTATATAGCAGGGTCTAATGAAGGGCCCACACGTGACTATTTCCTGAAGCCAGGGCATGAGGGTCCTTCCCCAGAGGAGGGGGGGTTCAGTTCAGGCCTCTCTGGAACCTGAGCTTTTGGGTGCTCACCCAATTGTGGGTGAGGTCTCCAGGAGCCAAGTAAAGTTTGAGAATAAGATAGGGTGCCCAGGGACCCCAAATTTCTGTAGGACAGGAACCTGGGGTGAAGGGGGCAGGCTGGAGCTATTAGCAGTAACAAGGCAGGCGGCCCTGAATGCTTAATTTAATTTGTGGCCGTGGAGACGCTCACTCAGACACTATGGGGCATGTTGTTTGCTTTGCTTCCAGGAACTTGGGTCAAGGGCATTGAAGGGGGTGATGGGCCAGTGACCAGAGTGGGGCAGAGGTGGGGTACAGACCTGGAGCCCAGGGTTTTTGGGGGAGAAAGGGAGGGGATAAGCCCACCTAGCCAACACCAGACATTCCTGCTTCTATCTCTGGCTTTGCCTCCTCTCCCCCTTCTCCCTCCAGGCTTTTCCAAGACCCTCACCCCTTCTCTTGTCCCCAAACCCCTTTCTGCCTGGGGTTCCTGGAAGCCAAGGAAGCAGAACGGACTGTTCCCTGGGTGGGTGAGCAGCTTCCAAGTAAAAAGCTTTCAAGCCGCCTGCCTCATTAGTGCTAATGGTTGCTCTCTTCCTCCTTGCGTTGTTAGGGCTCTGCCCACGCCTGGTCTCATCAGCACGAGGCTGTGGTGAGAACTCCCCTTTTGTGGAGATAGTAGTACATACAGGACCCTTGCCTTCCCTCTCCCCTCTGAAGGGCTATTTATCACACACTTGCACATCAGGGAAAAGGATACAGCCTGAATCAGCTTCAAGGTCTCAGTGTACAAACTGGATTGGCCCAAGGCAGCAGGAGGAGGATGAAGGGGCTGTTTGTAGTCCAGGTTCACACAGGCTATTCTGACCAGGCAAAGACCCGAGGAAGTTCTCTCAACAGCGGGTAGAAATTATAGGTTGTCATCTGGTAGCCTTTGGCCTAGTGTGAACACCAACAATTGGTGTTGGAGTGTGGGTTGCCTTGGGAGATGCTCCACAGAGGGTGGCCTTAAAGCAACTTCTTCCACAGATTGGCACTGATGTCTGTTCTAGGGTCAGGCTGGCATTAAATTCCCTTGTGGTTGGCTCAGGGTAACAGTCCTAGGAGCTCAAAGGATCACACTACTGCTGAGGGTGGGGAGGGCTGGGGACTCAGGGAAAGCCTCTCTGAGAGGTGGTTCCTGAGTAATTCAGCAAAGGGCCGATCCCGTTTCTCCCCTGAGAAAGGTGCTGGCTATTTTGGTGACTCTGTCACAAAGCTAACCTTGTGTCAAGGCCTCCCTGGACAATGGGCTTTCTCTCCTAGAGGCTGTAGCTGGGCCTGGTGGCCCACCCCAGGGCTTTATCTTTTCAGAGTGGTGCACAGTAAAGGTATCCAGATTCCATGTGTGACCCCAACCTGGTGGGGGCCATTTGGAGCTAGGAAGGGCAATGCATCAAATATACATATACCTGAGTCATGTTCCCCAAATCTTTGTGCCCTTGCCCCATCCTTGGAGATTCTAGCTGAAGAGACAGTGGTGGGGAGCAGGGACTGAGTGTGGATTTTAGAAAGGTGCCCTGGGTGATTGAGGTGGGCCTGGTCAGCACCCATGCTAAGAACAGCTCTTCATATTCTAGGTTGGGTCCTCTTCCCTCTCAGGCACACAGTGTCTTTACTTATCTACAGAGCAGTGGCTGTCTTCACCTGAGTGTGTACACACAGGTCTATCATCTCCATGAATAGTGATAGACAAGGGCTGAGGCACTCACATGGGAAGCCTGGGTCCCTTATCAGGTCCTGTGGGAGAAACAGTTAAGAGAACCATCACAACACAGTGGGATGATTAGAGAAATACATATAAAACTGGATGTTTGATGATACTAAAGAATAATTGTGAATTTTTTCAGGGTGATGATGGTGTTATGGTTATGCTTTTTTTGTTGTTGTTATTGCTAATCCTCACCCAAGGATACTGTTCCATTGTTTTTCAGATAAAGTGGGAGCCAGAGAAATATTGATGTGAGAGAGACACATCAACTGGTTGCCTCCCACATAACCCCAACCAGGGCCAGGGATTGAACCACAACCAAGGTATGTGCCCTTGACCAGAATCCAACCCATGACTCTTTGGTCTGCAGACCGACACTTCTAAACACTGAGCCAAACCAGCCAGGACAAAGCAAAGATTTCTTAAACAAGATGGAAAGTACTAACCATCAAAGGTTGATAAATTAGACCATTTAAATTAAGAACATCTGATCATTAATTAAAAATAATTAAGGAACTGAAAAGATAAGTTAGAAACTGGAAAAAGAAAATTGCAATACATATACTAAAAACAAACAACTGATGCAGAATATATAAGGAATTCTATCATCACTAAAGAAAAGAGACTTGATTGAACAGGCCCTTCTCAAAAGAAGATTTTCAAATGGCCAGTAAGCATGTGGAAAGGTATTCAGTATCACTAGAGAAATTTAATCTATAGAGAAATGTGAATTAAAACCAAATTAGATACTGCTATACATTGACTAGGTTGGCTAAAATTAAAACTATTGACAATATTGAATGTGGGGGAGGATATGAAGTAACTAGAACTGTTTTACTTAATAATGGCCCCAAAGTGCAATAGTAGTGATGCTAACAATTTCGTATATCAGAAAGAAGCCCTAAAGTCCTTCTTAAATGAAACAGTGAGTATAGCATAATAAGATGTTTTGAGAGAAAAATTCTACATTCATGTTAACTTTTTTTTTTACAATATATTGTTATAACCCTTCTATTTTCTTTGTTATTGTTGTTATTCTCTTACTGTGCCTAATTTATAAATTAAACTTTATCATAGGTATGTATGTATAGAGAAAAAAAAAGCATGTATATTCAGCACTTTCGGTGGTTTCAGGCATCCAATGGGGGGGTCTTAGAACCTATCCCCCATGAATAAGGGGGAACTACTGTATCTTGATCTGGGTGGTGGTTACATGGGTTTCCTTTTCATTGTGGGTTCTTTCCTGACTGTGGACTTTGGCATGACTCTTATTCAGACTTGAACTTTTCTCATTGCACCTTTGTGTTATTTGAAAAGAGTTCTTCAGACCAGAGACCAAAAATCACCCCTTTGAGGTAGTGGCAGTGGGTGCCAGAACAAAAGGGTACCTACTGTCTGGGTCAGTGGCATTGAAAATGGTCTTTTCCTCAGTTTGCTGTCCTTAGCTATGTTTGCCTGTCTCTTGTGACACTTGTTTTTCTTTCCTGTCCCTGGGGGTTGTCTTCAAGCTGTTGACTTCTGAGGATTTTAGATTTCACAATATGTTGCTACTTTTTTGTCTCTAGGTTATTTCTCCAGGGGAAAAGACAATAATTTCCTAAACTCTAAACAAATGAAAAGAAAAGCAGTATGGCCCTGGCCGGTTTGGCTTAGCGGTTAGAGCATTGGCCTTGGACCAGAGAGTCCCAGGTTTGGTTCCCGCTAAGGGCACATACCTCGGTTGCAGTTTGTACATCGGTTGCAGTTTGTACCCGGCCCCAGTTGGGGTCATGTGGGTGGCAACCACTTGATGTGTCTCTCTCACATCTATGTTTCTCTCTCTCTCTTCCTTCCTCTCTCCCTCCCACTCTATCTGAAGATAAAATGTAAAGATGTCCTCAAATGAGGATTTAAAAAAAAGAAAGAAAAGCAGTATGTTAGTGGTTACTGTTTTTTACAGTGCATAATAAAAATAGTAAAAGGAAAAGCAGACAGTACTAGTGAAATGGTGTCAGTCGTAATGAACAGAAAGCTTGATTCAAACTTTTTTTTTTTTATCCTCACTTGAGGACATATTTTTTTCCATTTATCTTCAGATAGAGCGGGAGGGAAAGAGGGTGGGAGAGAGAGAGAGAGAGAGAGAGAGAGAGAGAGAGAGAGACATTGATGTGAGAGAGACACATCAACTGGTGGCCACCCACACGACCCCAACTGGGCCAAATCAGCCAAGGTGTTGATTCAAACTATTTTAAATTAGAAACATAATTTATTTGCTCATACAATTGAAATATTCAGAAGTATGGCTGGTTTCAGTGCCTCTTGATTTTATAAGGACTTAGTGTGTCAGACACAGTTGGTTGCCTATATCATCACTGTATCTTACTAACCAATCAGAGCAGCTCCATAATGACTAATCAGGGTGCATGATTCCAACCAATCAACCCAGTGCTATTTGGACCAATCAGATTGTGCAGATTTGGATTTCTCATTTGCATAGAAATGGACCAATCAGGGATGGGGTGGGAACTTTATAAAAGAGGGCCTTCCTTTGTCTCTGTGGAGAGCACTTTTCAGTTTCCTCTGGGAGGCTGTGTCTTCAATTTGTAAACTGTTTACCTGAATAAAATTTATCCTTTTACTGCACCCTGGATTGGGGACTCCTGTTGGCATTAGATTGGTGGCAGCAGCCTTTTGTTGACACTGGCAGGGGGGCTTCCCCTTTCTGCTTCTTTTCCCTTTGAGTTCCTACCCAGAATGTGAATATATGCCTACAGCTGCAGCAAACAACTTGTGACTGTGAGGGAACAGCCTTGGGGTGGACTAACTACTAAGCATAGTGGACAAGAAAAGCACAATGCCTTCATGATGCTGTAAAGCGGTTGCACCAACCCTAGTCTGTCCACCTCCTGATATTGTATTGCATGAAACAAAAATTTGTTTGAGCCATTGTTAGGTTTTCTCTTACTTGCAGCTAAACACATTCCCAACTGATATTTTCCATTTCTTTACATCTTTTGTCCACATTTTTTGTGATACATGCTTCCTTCTCAGGCTGTTCCCCTTATAGACCCAAACTGACTTCAGCTGTCTTGGAGGCCTCCTGCTTCGTTGCTCACTTTCTACAGGACAGAGTCACCTTTGTCCCAGAATTCCCTAGTCCTGGTTCTGGAAATCCTGCTGGCTTCTACTACTGAAGGCTATGGCTGGAGAACTCATGGTGAGTTCCTCTAATCTGGATGGAGCCTAATGGTATTCTTTTGACTTTAGCTGAGCCCTAAGCATCTCCAAAGGTCTGGCTGTGACTTCCACAAAGGCCTGACCTCCAGAAGCCTTGCTCCTGCTGTGGCCTTGTGGGTAGAGTGGGTCATCTGGCCCAGCAATCTCTTGGGAGCCACATTTAGCTTTTGAGGTGTGCAGGTGTTGACTTTGAGCAAATTCCCAGCCCAGAAAAAAATTATTTTGGATGTGGGATCTCATTCTTTCTCAGCACAGTCTTGACAGTCATATGCTCAGGTGTTTTGTAGGTAGGATGGTAGTCAGGCTACACTTGAGCAATCAAGAAAGAGTTTAGCACTGGCTGGTTTGGCTCAGCAGTTAGAGCATTGGCTCTCAGATCAATGAGTCACAGGTTTGATTCCAGTCAAGGGCACGTACCTCAGTTGTGATTCGTCCCTGGCCCTGGGTGGGGTTGTGGGGGAAGCAGCCACTTGATGTGTCCCTTTCACGTCGATGTTTCTCTCTTTCTCTCTCTCTTCCTCTCTCTCCCTCCCACTCTATCTGAACAAAAATGGAAAAAAATGTCCTCAGGTGAGGATGAAAAAAAAAAAGAATTTAAACTGCAAAGACATCTGAGTATTGTCACAGTCTTGTCTGAGGTCACCACTTAGCTTGTAAGTGGTGGAGCTGAGTGAGTCAAACTGAGAAGTATGACACACTAGTGAACCCCTCCCAACCACGATGCTAAGACACAATGACACTGCTGTTATATAAAGAGTGGCAAAAAGTAGGTTTCCAGTTGTAATACAAATAAATAATACAATAAATAATTATACAAAAATAAAGTCTGTTTCACATACTCACAACTGTAAACCTATTTTTGCCCATGTCTGTATTTTTTTGACATAGACCAACTTTGATTGCATTATAAGCATACAGGGATATTCTTCAATTCCACAAAGAAATATGCCTGCTCGCCTGGCCGGTGTGGCTTAATGGTTGCGCATCACCGGTTCAATTCCTGGTCAGGGCACATGCCCAAGTTGTGGGCCAAATCCCCAGTGGTGGGGAGCAGGAGGCGGCCAATCAATGTTCTCTATCATCAATGTTTCTATCTTTCTCTCTCTCTCCCTTCCCCTCTCTCTAAGATCAATAAAGAAAAAAAATGTTTTTAAAGAAATAAGTCTGCTCCTATTTTCCTTAAAGCACATGACCCTTTGACCTCTCTTTTATTGCCCCCCCCCTTTTTTTTTTCAGAGGCACAGGTACAGAAATTAGTTCTCTACTTCAACAGTGGCAATGGTGCAGGAGTAACATTCAAAGCCACACTTGGACTCAATATTAAGGTGTGAAGAGTACATGCTTGGTCTGAAAGGGAAAGCCATGGGCACCAGGCAGAGATGCAGGCTGAGTGTTACCAGAGTTTCAGCTTTTTCAAGAAAAGCCAGATAATTTAATTTTTATATTTGGCTCAGCATGCTTTCCCTCTCAGGAGCAAGCCTGTGCCTTTCCCATTCCCCTCTTCTTCCCCTCTGGCACTTTACCGTTACCCTTCTTTCTCCTAAGCTCCAAGGCCCCTTCTTTTGCCTTCTTTATGCAGCCCAGCTGGTTCACTTCTACAATGTTCTAAATAAACGTTCTCTTATAAAAAATTTTTTTTTGGCTCAAAGAAAGTGTTGTCAAGTTCCCACTTCCAGTGTAATG